AATTAACATAGCAGATGCCATTGGATTTGGTTTTCGGACTATATTACTGCTGCTCATTCTGAAACGGGGTAAGGCTTATTTTTCGAAATTGCCGCGTAAATTTTATGAAAGGCGTTTGAATGCAACTTCATTACAACTAAAGTAATAAAGTTGCATTCCAACCCCAAAAAAATATAATTTTGCAAATTAGTAACAAAATCAGTAGGTACTACAAGTTTGGACAAAAGTTTTTCTTTACAAAGCATAAGTCCGGCCTCGGGTGGATTACTTCAGCATTGCTCTCACATCTGAACCGGAGCTCCCAAATACCAGCTACTTTCATTTGATTCCATACAGACGAGGGCTATTCGGAATATCAGTAATCCCATTCTCACGGATCGTTTGGAGCCTTTGGTTCTGTGGAGTGACTTCGGTTCCCTCTGTATTTTGTACCGTATGTTTCGTGAGGAGTGCCAGAGAATTCTTCAGAAAGAATTGTTTGAGATGATCCCATCATATCGTTTGTACCATCGCACCACCCGCCGCCAGAGTAGAGTTCATTCAAATTACCTAGAACCACTGCATTAATCCACAGTGCGTTACCAGAGATTTTTTCTGCCACGTACCATCTTGTTTTGGAACGAGCTCCCCTCTACGTTGTTTCCTGAGCGCTATGACATGTTCTTCTACATACTTAGCTTGTGGAAAGTACTTAAGAGCAGGCAACGGCTGGGCTCTGTTCCTGGTATTGCTTACTTCCATGAAAGACGGTAACCACTCACCATCAGGTGGGCCATAAAAAAGTCCTTTATGCTATAGAATTGAAATTTAAAACTCATGCTGAATGGCAGCATTCGCATTGTGATATCTATGAAGTCCTTAAGATCGGATGCGTCGTGAGTTGTATTGCCTGTCTATGCAATATCATATAATAATATTATAATAAGCTATGTGACTCGCCAGTTAAATAATATAGTACAACTTGAAGTAAATTGAATAAAAGCGTTGTTTACCGTTTCGGCTGAGTTGGGTCAACGTCAGGAGTATTATGTTTAATGCCTGCTCTGTAATGTTGGACATAAATTTTTTGCCCAGATTAAACCATGTTTTTAACAAAATAACGACAGAGTTATTCTTACTTTTTTTTTCCGGACAACATTTTTATTGTTTTGTACTTTAGCTGACTAATCGACATGGCTTACATCGATATTCATATTATTTTATTTTTGTTTTTAAAATGATTGATTAAAAAAGATATATCTTAGTAAGTATACCTTATATATAAGTATAACTTATTTTAGTTTAAGATAAATCGTTTATGATATAATATACATATTTTTTAATTGAGCTAGTGCGAATTTCTCTATGTCACAAGAAGTTTCGTTCAAAGTAATATCTCATTAATATGATCATTGCAAGACAATAAGCGATCCTTCAAGTCACCGGCAATTTGCAGAGCAAAATATGCGTACAGTGAAAAGTTCCATTTGGGAGCATTTTGCTCTGCAAAAGCATAAAAAGATATACACAATGACATGATCATAAAGTTCCAATACCAAAATGTAGCCCACGACAGCCTGTTCAAATAAATTTAAATCGATCTCTAACAATTGGTACGTATTTATTAGAACAGACCAATACTTATTGATAATAACGCCTGTAGTACAAAGTACATCCACGAATAAGAAAGATTTGTGTCACAATTTAAGCTTTTTGTCGACCTGGAAAATTACATATAATTTTTTTTATTCGTAGTACTATTTTATACTAATCGTGCCATTAAACTTGTAATTCCAAAAAAACAAACCTTATTGCTTTTTGTTAAGGTCTAATGTTGCTTGTGTCATTCACTTGTCCACAAACTACCAGTCGAGTTGTACCAACAGACGAACTAATGAGTATACGTCCGTATTTACTGTAGAAAATATAGTCGACGTTGCCCGGGTCAGGTCGCATAAGACAATATGTGTTAATCCAGGTAATGAACCATACCTCTAGCGACATTTCATACAGGTCTGCCGTTATTTTTGTGTGGTCAAGTAACTTAAATCGTAACATACAATCTTTCGCATTCATAATCTTAATATAGACTGCGTCATTTTCTAATTTAATTATTAGTTTTTTTTTATTGCTTAGGTCGGTGTACGTGCTTTGGTGTTATGTGGCTACTGAAGCCCGTGGACATCTGCGACGTAAACGTGCCACCCACCTTGAGATATCAGTTCTAAGGTCTCAGTATAGTTACAACGGCTGCCCCGCCCTTCAAACCGAAACGCATTACTGCTTCACGGTAGAAATAGGCAGGGTGGTGGTACCTACCCGCGCGGACTCACAAGAGGTCCTACCACCAGTAAAAACTACCACCTGGTGGTCCTACCACCAGTATTGTTGATCTAGTGATTAGTGATTCCTGTATCTAGATTTCCGGATTCCAATGTTGGTCGAAGTGTGTTCAAATCGAGGTTCGGGTGTACTTTTGCTTTTCAATATTAATAACACAAGAGAAAACCATGCTTGTATAGTTACATTTTAGAAAATTCTTATTGTACACAGATAATACGCACGTAAAAAATTATTAAACTAGTTGACCCGGCAGACTTCGTAGTGCCTCAATCGATAAATAAAACATCAAGGGGACTCATCTAAGGAAAAACAAAATTGTTTGTTTTTATATAATTCCAAGCATTTTCATATTTTTTCACCTTTTAAACCTTTTTCTGGACTTCCACGAATAATCCAAGACCAAAATTAGCCAAATCGGTCCAGCCGTTCTCGAGTTTTAGCGAGACTAACGAACAACAATTCATTTATATATATATAGGTATAGATAGATTAAAAAGCATTTATAAAGACGATCCAAACTCAATGAGTAGGTAATATTACTGTTTAAATTCAAGCATTCTAACGTATTGAATAAAAATAATAAACGAATCAAGTACCTAAATAAGCAATTACGTACCCACGGAAAATGTATTCTTTCTTTTCAGAGTGCTATTTATGAGACACTTTGAATTCAAATTGAACTTTTTTATAAGGAAACAAATTTCGCTCCTGCATAATCGGCATGAGCTCTCCTCGGAATGAAAATATCACTTTTAAATACTTTAATACATTACTTCTTCATGAGGCTTTTATAATTGTTTTCACTTAATTAATTATCGTATCCAAATTATTTCCATTATAGTATTTGCGCGAATTGTATTATATTATTAAAGTTACTAAGCAGTTGTACTATAATCGGACTGACAGTGGTATTTCCGTACAGAAACTCGGCTGTACCGGTGTATCAGAAGTCTCCTTGGTTCCATTAAAGAGACTACAATACAGCTGAAGTCTCAATCAAAGCGAAGGCTTTCTTGTAATCCACAAATGCAAAGCACAGCAAAATTAAGAGTATTTCAATAAATAAAGCCTAACAATCCTCGTTCTGTTTTTTTTTTCAAGTAACAATCACCCTTATCTTATGTGTTCTTGTAGCAAATTCCAAACGCCTTCTTGTCTTTTAGTTTGACGATGAATATGACAAAAACGTGATTTCATTCTACTTTTAAATTAAATGTTTATAAGCCACCTTAATTCCTTGAAAAACTCAATCTAATGCGTGGTAAAAAAAAGTCCCCGGGTTACGTCGTAATGCCGTCTTACATTTTTCATTAAAATAAATGACTTTCCCTTATCTCGCCGTTTCTTGCAAACTTTCACTTCACACAAAACGTAGTCGCTCATTTCGATAAAGTAGGTAATTACTTACTTACACAATGACACTTTCTTTAATCTTCACGGGCGCTACGTGTTTTCCATGCGAGTGTTATTTTATAGAATGATAGTCCTTTGCTTTATCAGATTAAAGCATAATTTTGCTTGATGATAATTTGATTTTAAGCGTTACTGTTTGCCCTACATAATTCGTGTGACTTAAATTATTAATTAATCAGATTATTTTCACTTTAGACTTAATTACTGTACATAAAGTGAAGTATGTATAAGCACAAAAATGAATCTTTGTTAATATATTTGTTCATTACTTTTTAAAATGCTATAGTAAATTTTTAAGTACCTATAGCAATTTTGTCGTTGTTAGTCGAGTTGAAGTTTGGTGTTTTAGGAAGGTTTCTGGTATGGTGCTTTGAATCAACGATTGCTGCCGCATAATTTGATAGTTGAAACGGGCTACCCCAAGTTTTTATCGAATTTAATCAGTTGTTAATAAGCATGGCGATTCAATACCAATAAGCTTAAATATTACCGGCAATCTACATTTTACCATGATCGTTACGTTTACTAAGTTCCCGATATTTTGACGCTGTTGCAAGCGCCATGATTACGGGTAAACATGATCGTGGTAAGAACCCGTTATTTAATATCATAATTTTTATAAAGATGATTCATTGTCATAAAAGGTTCGGACGATGTCGCGATTTTCTCAAAAGATGTTCGTTATCAGTATGATTAATACGAAAATAAAATTGGTATTTCTTATAACGTTCTTATCTAACGTTCAACTATTGATACTATTGATGAACTAATATTACTACTATTACTACTATTTGTATTCGTTTCCTACATTTCTCTTCACTGTTTCTTATATCGGAAAATCTATAATAAACTAGTTGACCCGGCAGACTTCGTAGTGCCTCAATCGATAAATATAAGACACAAATAAAAGGAATCCTTCCGACGGGGGGACAACAAAGGGAAAACAAAATTGTTATTTTTACTTAATTCCGAGCATTTTCATATTTATCTACCATTTAAACCTTCTCTGGACTTCCACAAATAATTCAAGACCAAAATTAGCCAAATTGGTCTAGCCGTTCTCGAGTTTTAGCGAGACTAACGAACAGCGATTAATTTTTATATATATAGATAGAAGATAGATTACGATAGCATACTATGTTTGTGTTAAATTAACTCTGTTCCATGTAGAAGTGATAGGTTCAGTTCACTATAAAAAAAAATCTGGATCCGGGTCAACGTTTTTGTAGACAAAAACATGAAAACATCTTTTGAAGATGACTCACCGCTCTGTCAGCTAAGTTCTTGACCCGACAGTGTAGATAAGCCGGCTGACCTACAGCTGCTGTGTAATCTCGCTTTGTTGAGTTGTCGAAGTAAGGTTGCCCAACAGACTCTGTAGTGCCAGTGACATTGCTGTAGTCGACTGTCGTAGTCACGGACAAATCTTCGCCCTCACCGCCCTCGCCGGCCGATATGCCTGCTAAATGCAAATTATCTTTAGATTATACGTCTAGAAATTTCTGGAATCGTTGAGGTCAATTTAATCTATACTATAATATAATATATAATATTATAAAGAGGAAAGATTTGTTTGTTTGTTTGTATTGAATAGGCTACGAAAATACCGAACCGATTTGAAAAATTCTTTTAATGTTTAGAAGCTTCACTATTCCCGAGTGACATAGGCTATAGGCTTTTTTAAAAAAAATTAGGGATCCTTACTAAAACTCCAATAATGTAACCCAAGATGTAAAAAAATTACCTAAAATATTCTTTACATCGCGTGCCCTGCGAAAACTATTGATGATAGAATAAAATAATGTACTACAACTTTGTAGAACACATTATTATTTACAAAAAGTGTCGCGACAGCATATGTCTAACTATTATAGATATGCCGCAATAAGTGTCCTTTTATTTAAAAAAATAAAACAACGTCAAATATCGTTGAAGTTTTTGTTATAGACCCGAGCGGAGCCGGAGCGGGCCGCTAGTATGGAATAATTCTTTATAGTGAAGTCATTTAGATAAGTTTAATATTCAGCAATTAATGCACTATTGCAATTATTAAACGCAAAGACGGGAACGCATATTACAAGTGTGCATTAGTAGATGCCGGAGTTCTATTTATTGCTGACGTGAATCAATAGGGCATTGTGTTTTGCTTGGTAGGACGAGTCTTAATACAAATCTAAAGGGAACTGATAAGATGTTCCAGAGTGAATGGTGACATTTACGTTGCGTTACCGATGGCTTTAGTAATGGCATATTTCCTAATATAAATAATTTATAGATGGTATCGGTTACATATTTTGTTCAAATAATTGTTACTTTACAAATTCATTAACCACCGTTCTTTAAATTGAACCATTCACATGATCACGATTATTCTTCAATATTAACTCATGTGAATTGCAATATGTATTAGTCTGTAACAAAAAAAAAAACTTAATGTATACTTTTTGACTTCATTTCCGTGTAAGTATTCGACACTAGAACAAAAAACTGCTTTTCCATAAAAACTTATCACTGCCGCTTAACTGTAAGCTGGTCATAAACTCGTCTGACTATCGAAGAGAATGGAAATAAAAACATTATGCTGACAAAAGATGCTCGCAGTCATTGTGAGGCTTAATACAAACTTTAACCAGATATATTATTGCGATAACTAATTTATTCTGCATCTTATTGTATTTATTTATTTATTTATAACTTTATATACTAGACAGTATAAAGGCGGACTTAATGCCATAGGCATTCTCTGACAATCTACCTTATCTTGTGTGCAAGAGGTATATTTAAGAAATAAGATCGTTCATTATATTATTCGTAAATGAATAAACACTTTATATATTTAATTTCGATCCGGACGACCCGTTTTTACAGTATCCTCATTAGGTGGATGATTATGGGTTTCATTAGGAGGAAAATCGTCACAGCACCACATGGCAACACTCATCGCTAACTTTTCTTGGGCCTCGTTGTAATCAGCACTCATACTAGAGCGCAATTTTGGAGCAACAAAATATGTTATTTATCTCTACATTTGACCAGTTCCGCGTATTACAGAGAAACACTATTACATTCGAGAGAAACCAACAAAAAGATAGTGGGACGAACCTCTGTCATTCCAGATGTCCATCTCGAGAGGCCTCCGAATGTTTTTTTTCCTTTCAACGAAAATATTTCGACACATTGAAATTGATATGGGTTGTCATGGAAAGTATCTGCTTGAAGTTCACCAGAATTGTTTGATCCACCGTAAAATGTTTTAGAAGATTTCATATGGGTGTGAAGATCGTTTTGTAAAAACCTAGAATTAAAATCTAGGAGTAGAAATAGTGCTAACGCCTGCCCGACTGTCTCCGACATAGAAATCAACATCAAGAAGTTTCCGATTGAAAGCCTCAGTACTTATGATAAGGGGGAGTAAAGTTAAAGAAACAGATCTGTGTTATTGGGTACTGACCGAAGGAGGCCTACAGCTTAAGGCAGTTATTAATGTTCCTATAAACACAGTCACAGAGTTTCTCGTCGGATCTTCTAAGTGAGTCACGATCCCGATATATTTTTTTTATTGCTTACATGTGTGGACGAGCTCACAGCCCACCTGGTGTTAAGTAGTTACTGGGGCCCATAGACATCTACAACATAAATGCGCCACCCACCTTGAGATATAAGTTCTAAGGTCTCAGTATTGTCACAACGACTGCCCCGCTCTTCAAACCGAAACGTTTTACTGCTTCACGGCAGAAAATAAGCGAGGTGGTAGTACCTATCCGTGCGGACTCACAAGAGGTCCTACCAGTAGTAAAAATATGGTATATTTAGCGAAGCATTGCTCTTGCCAGGGTCAGTGTTACTTTGTCAGGTTGAGCCCCATGGGCTAACCCACCCGCCACTGCTTAGCTGAAATAGCCCCTTAGACTACCAACGAATAGGCAGGGAAATAAAACTGAAAGCGGCCACGACGATTCAATACGGAAGCATTTCCGTTGTACCGAAAGAATGGTGAAAGAGCCACAATATGGAATACAAAATTGTATAGTGGAGTGTTTTCATTAAAATGTTGACATCCAATATTAAGACTGGTTATATACGACATATTAACAAATTGTCGAAGTGCAATTATAATCAGTGACACCTCAAGATTTAAATAATAATATATTTAGTTAAAACTATTTTCACGGTATAATCTCGGGTTTATTATCAAATCGAATACCTTACAGTTTTTGTGATCACGGAATACCGACATGGTTATTTAATATGATTACTTTATCGTTTGTTTTGCTGTAGAAAATGTTTCGAATAATAGCTAAAAAAAACTGTTTCTTCTATTTCCTATTGATAGACCACGTCAATCGTTACAACACAAAGAAATCAGTTGACAAAAGGTATTGTTTGTCTTTGTATATGAATGATCAGCGTCTAAGAAAACGTCTAACGAAGCCGTTACAGAATGCTTGATATATAGGTTCATAATAAGCCTAAACATACATTTTATAGCTTAAATATAATGTGCGATACGAGAGGCTATATTAAAACACTCTAATTAGCAAGACAAAAACCTTAAAAGTAATTAGTACGGCGTACATTTATTACGGCTTAACAATTTAATGTTCAAAATCTGAATTTTACGTTGATTACGAAAATCTTTGTATAAGGAAAGTTCTAAATTCAAAGAAACAGCCAAATAAACAAAGATTCAGATGATGCTTTAGAAATAAAGTTTGAAAACCGTGACTGGTATTTTTAATAAATCAATCTTAAACAAAACGATATTTCGATTAGAAATCTTCACTTGACTAAATATTCCAGATATTTTATAATAATATATTAGATCTTTACACACGAAATCAGCCATTTAGTATACATAAAATTAAAGTCTATGACAACTTTTTTATTTCTATCAATCAAAATATGCATTCATGGTATCGATGTATCTCTGACAGCGCAGTGGCTTTTTTTTTTTTTTTTTTTTTTTTTTTTTTTTTTTTTTTATTGGCCTTGTTGGATACGAGTATACGGCCCACCTGATGGTGAGTGGTTATCGTAGCCGATAGACTTCAGCAATGCGAGGGGCAGAGTAAAGCCGCTGCCTAATTTTCAATGCCGGTGTTGAAGAAGTCAGGTGGCAAAAAACTCTTCAAAGGGATTTTGAACTGCCTATCGGATATCGAATTTTTTCCTGGCAAGAAGTCGTCCGAACTTTAGAAAAAGTAGAAGTTTGTCNTACGGCCCAACTGATGGTGAGTGGTTATCGTAGCCGATAGACTTCAGCAATGCGAGGGGCAGAGTAAAGCCGCTGCCTAATTTTCAATGCCGGTGTTGAAGAAGTCAGGTGGCAAAAAACTCTTCAAAGGGATTTTGAACTGCCTATCGGATATCGAATTTTTTCCTGGCAAGAAGTCGTCCGAACTTTAGAAAAAGTAGAAGTTTGTCAGCGCAAGATCTGGTAAGCACCGTGAACGACACAGACTTCCAACCTTTGGAGATCATCTGTTGTGCCGTATGCGGACAATGGTTGTTGTGTAGACAAGTAGTTGTAGTGGGGACAAGTGATTAAAGAAATTTGCCCGAAAATTCTCAAGCTTCTGTATCATTATGTCTAGTTCCTCACAGTACGCATCCACAGTAATGCTGGTTCCATTTGGTAAGAAGCTGTGAGAGTATACCAACAATATATGCAATATTTATAAGATACCTTAATAATGTTTTGTCCAATACTTTGGTAATGTACTTCAGTTATCACTGACCAATTGTCAGTAATACCGTTAGGGGCAACATCTGTTACAGACGTCACTGATTAAACTTGAGTTGCCTCTATTTTTTTATGTTTTTAATGATTTTATTGCTTTAATGGTGGACGAGTTCCATCCACCCACAAGTTCCAGGCCCACCTGGTGTTAAGTGATTATCTTAATATATATAATATACTTTATGTAGATGGCGCCACCTACGTTGATATATGAGTTCCAAGGTCTCAGTATAGTTACAATAGCTGCCCCACCTTTCAAACCGAAACGCAGTACTGCTTCACAATAGAAATAGGTAGTGGGGTGGCACCTACCCGTGCGGACTCACAGCACGTATCACCACCAGTAATTACGCAAATTATAATTTTTCGAGTGTAATTTTTATTAAACGATGTTATTCCTTCACTTTCGAAGTCAATCGTGAACATTTGTCAAGTACGTACCGTACGTAGTACGTATTTCATTAGAATAATTGGTACTTGCCTACGGGATCCGAACACCGTTGCATCGCTAGATACGAATGCGCCGTATGTTTTATCTTTTAGGCCACGACGACTACCAATTTTGAAACCTAAAATCGGTACTTTACTATTGAAAATGAAAACCAGCGGCCGCTTCGTTTATCTGGCCTTCACAACAAACAATAAGCCTTAATGCTGCTTAAAATATTATATATTTTTTTAAGATTTCTTAGGACAGTGTATATATTTAAAACTTGGCAATC